CACCATGTGAAGGGGTTTTAGAACATGAGAAATGTGTGCCTTTAAAAGTGAGCCCCTTCAAACAGCTCAATGTTGACTATATGAGATGGAAATCTTCTAGAAGCACATACTTCCCTGCCTTCTTAAGCAGACTATAATTGGGCCTAACTAAGCCTTTTCTGGATTATCACTGGATATGACATATCGCTGTGGTCACTTCAGCTCATCGCATGCAGTGGGCTCTAACTACTGCACCTGTCCCGTTTTCCTGCCGGTGCGCTGCACACCGCCTGCAAGGTGTGGTTTTGATCTGCTGGGGTTGTGAGCAGAAGCAGGCATGGTGGAGCAAAGGCGTTCTCCATGAAATCAAAACGTGCAGCGTGAAGACTGTGACAGCACTCTGGCTGCTCAGAAGCTGTATCTGCTTCCTCATTCTCAAGTGTGTTCTTGAAGGAGAGAGACCAACTTGGCAGAAAGCAAGCAGTTTCAAAACCTGCCTGGTCTGAGTCTGGATGGAGGAATCATGGCCTCCCCAGTGAGGTCATCGCTAACTGTGAATTGTCAGTTTTAGGTTGTACTTATGAAAAATAACCTATAAGCCGTGTCTGAGGCTGAGTCAAGGTTTTGGTTTTTCCTCAGGGGCGGCCAAGTTTCATCTGTCACAGAGTAATAATCACAGATAGCTTCAAGAATCAAAAATCCAAGTTCTTAATCTTTATTGTTGATTTTGTTTTTGTTGTTGATTTCTGACTTAGGAGACCCCATGTGTTACAGAGTAGAACTGCTCCATAGGGTCTTCTTGGCTGTAACCTGGTGGGACAGTGGTTAAAGCGCATGACAACTGAAAACCATCAGCGGCTCCAAGGGAGAAAGATGTGGCAGTCTGCTTCTGCAGAGATTTACTGCCTTGGAAAGCCTATGGGATTGCTATGAGTCAGAACTGACTCGCTGGCAGTGGGTTTTTAAAAATTTTTTACCACAGCAGATCACCAGGCCTGTTTCTTCTGTGGAGCTGCTGGGTGGATTCAATCCACCAACCTTTTAGTTACCAGCTGAGTGCGAGCCATCTGCGCCACCCAGGGACCTTCAAAGTTGTTAATCTTTACAAGTGATTGGAGATTTGATATAGACTGTTACTGAAAGGAGGAGAAGGCATTCTTACCCCAGTCCTCGGTAGCAGTATTTCCTTCTGAACTGAAATACGTTCTGGACGACCTTCTCCACCAGCTGGAATGGCTGCGCTATCACGGGCTCTATCAGGGGAGTGAAGCGCACCACGCCCACGTCCACCTTCGTAGTAAGCAAACATCAGTCACTCAATCACTTTGTGCCATGCTGTCACAGGATCTCACAATTCATCTTCATAAAACACAGGAGGCAGAGTCATCAAGAGTATGTGTTTCCTGGACAAAACCTTCGCAGGTACTTCAGCTTAATCTTTTCTGGGCAAGTAAGATGGCTGCAGGTGGAGCTGAGATGACTCAGAGAAACCAGAGTTGGCTGCATTGGATCTATAACAAAATTCACTAAACCTGTGCTTGATGACTACCTGACTTTAAGATGCAGTTTTACAATGGCTTTTAAAATGAATTCAAATAATCATTAAAGTCAGTAGCGTTCGAATATTTTATTCAGCTTTTCAATGGGTAAGAAGCGCCAGCCAGCAGCCCTGACAGTAAGGCAGGGCTTCAAACCAGAGCAAGCAGGCCAACGGGCCCTCAGGGACCCCTGTGTGCTCAACGCCCCAGAAAAGGAATCAATGCGGACACCACTTATTTTGGGCGCAGACACTAATTAATCAGCTGGACAGAATTCATGAGTGTCGTCTGCATAGTCTGCACAGCCACATAGCTATCTGTTAGCAACCTGAACTGCCCCAGAAAGCACAGGGAGAACCCAAAGAGAAAATGGAAACCACCCAAAGTGTCACTGTTTGGTAGTGTTAATCTGCTACCAGCTGTTGGGATTCTGTAATTATCAGGAGATAAAACTTTTCAGGCTGATCTGATAGGAGATTTATCCTCTGCCTTGTTCCAAAAATGGACTCATGGTGATTCACAAGGATACGTGCAAAAGAACAAGAGGAAAAATATGAAAAATGAAGACAAAGGGAAAAATGTAGTCAAAGCAGTTATCACACACATACAAAGGCCTGACAGAGATCATGACCTAGGAAACTGGAAGTCTATTCATAATTGGAAAAGCACCAGTCTAGGGAATGGCTGAACTTGCTACTTAGAATAGCACGCAGATTCTACAAATGCTCAAAAAGTAAAGTGATTTGGGAAGTGTGGGCTGCGCCACTGCTTTTCATCAGGAATCCTATTTTTTAAATTTCAAAGAGGTTATCATTTTTCTTGGGAGGCCTAGTTTCTAAAGATCCTTCTGGCTAGAAAACCCCTTAAAAATTGGCCTCTAATCCATGATAGTGGAGTGTTTTCTTTTTCTTTTTTTTTTTTTTTTAGGGTGGGATAAAAATAACTGCATTGATGTGAGACTTTGTGGACAAGAGCCAAAACGGAAAATGACAGAGGATACGTTCGGCCTCCGGCTTTCCGAGGGGCCAGCGCCGTCAGTTCTCCTGTGGTGTCTGAGCTGCCCTGCCGGCAAACAGACCTGCCTGGGTCTCCCCTCCTCCTTGAACAATCACCAACCCTATGCCCAAATGACTCAAATTGGCTACAGCCACCACTGTTGGCTGTAACTAGAAGCAGAAGAGTGTGATCCTCGGGATGGTGTGGGCTGGCAAATGCTGAGAATGTTCCAGGTGGCAGAGAGAAAACTGCCTGTGGAGAGGCCTTGCCACACAGAAATGCTCTCCTCAGGGCCCACATCAGGGCCCACCAGCCTTCAAACCCTTTTTGCGATGATTATGTCCCTTTGGTGGAATAGCACTTCCAAACAGTGACTAAGTTCAGTGTTCCTGATAAATTTTAACATGTTTTTAAAATTGAGTCCTAACCCAAAAAAAAACAAGCCCACTGCTATCAAGTCAATTCTGATTCATAGCAACCCCAAGGGTTTCCAAGGCTGTAAATCTCTACAGAAGCAGACTGCCACATCTTTCTCCCGCGGAACCGCTGGTGGTTTCAAACCGCCGACCTTTTGGTTAGCAGTTGACTGGTTTAACCACTGCACCACCAGGGCAGTTTCTTCAAGTTTAATAATGAGTACTTCCTGTGGTGAACTAAGTGCTTTTGGTGAAAAGGCTAGGACTTTCCTCAGACCCTAACAAAAAACGCCAGGGCACAGGGAGCAGAGGTCTTGGCGAGGCCAGCCATCACCAAAGAGGAGAGAGGCACTGCACAGGGGAAGAGCTGTGGAGGTGCTAGCTCAGGGCTTAGGTAGGGCAGGAGAACTGCCACAGGGAGAAAGAGGATGGCTCCATCTCAGAGCATTTCAGTGGAAGGAAAAAGACGGAGGAAGTGGTGGGAGAAGGCCAAGATTCACCACAATGAACATCAAAGACGTCTTTCCACAGACTCTGCAGTGTCCACCCCAGCTTTTCTCCTGTTTGACTTGGGACAGAAAGTGAGCCCAACAGTTCAGTAAGGCCTCTGACTGTTCTCTCGGCCTCGCCCGCAGGTCACTCTGGGACCCCTCCTGCCCTCCTTTCCACAGCTGGGCTCGCCGGCCTCCCCTCTCTACCTCTCCTCTGCTGCCCCTGAGGGCTCATCTCGTCCAACCCTCTTAGTCCAATCCTCTCAAACTGCACTGGAGTCAGTGCTGAGAGGAATTCTTCCACTCCTCCAATCCAACAGCTTGCCAGTCTCCACAGAAAATAATCTTTAAGCAAAATAGGAAATAAAATTTAACCCTACCCACCCCAAATCCATAAGATGTTATTATCCGCACTCTATGTGCTGGTCAAATGTTTGTAAACCTCAGGCACAAATGCGGATGACGGCATTCAGGCGTTCACCTTCTGGGGCAGGAGCTGCCACGCCCAGCTTCCTCACATTTTAAAATTTGGCTCCATCTTTATTTACCTGATTTCATTCCTTTGAGATAGAGCTGGTGTTTGTAAGTGTAGAAAGTGTCTAAAGTTTGCTTTATTTAATAAATAAAGTTTTAAAATCTTGCACAAATACAGCAGCACCCCATGTAAACTGGAACAGTAGCTGTCTAAAGTTTAAATGCAGTTTTGATATCCAGTTAAGCTGGGAAATTGTATTTACAGTCACATACAGTTACAACTTGGTGGAGGACCCTGTAAAACTCAGAATACAAGAAACCCCTCTAGTAATGCTCCCTCCTTTTGTTGGAAACCCCTATCCCACCCTCTCTTCTACCTCTATCTGTGAAAGCCATTCTCAGTACTACTCAGAATGACGGAGCCCATTTCTCTAGAACTGTGGGAAAACCGCTTGGTAACTATGGCAATGGATATAAAAGTGATTTTTACTTATAACTGAATGCTAACTTATAATTACAACCATTATTTTTTTTCCTTGAGTTTTAAGTCTATTAAAAGGTTTAATTGCAGAAATGAAATCAGTACAAAGGCCCTAGAATTCACGTAAAATATTCCCGTTTAATGCTGCTAGCCCATTTCCAAACCTGGTCTATCGGTATACCAAAATGACCTACTAAAATTTCAAATTAAAGCATTTATAATTAATTTGCCTCTCAAATCCATTATAACGTCAATGCTGTATCAAGTCAACATTGTGTTGCTCACCACTAGCAGCCTTGGGTTCCACAGGCCCGGAGGCAGATGCTTTATTTTCCAGCCCAGAGAGTCCGGGACACGCCTGGTTATGAGCTCAGAGCAGCACTTTGGTTTCACAAAGAATCTGGTGTAAGAGGCTATTAAATCTCAAATCTTAGCTATTTCCAACTTGGATCTCAAGTCAACAAGATACATCAAGAACAGTAAAGAATGTACAGCCCAGTTCGGGACTTTGAGATGCTCATAAAATGCCCAAAAGCAAAGTAACTACCACATGGAAAGCTATAGAAACAACACTGGCTGTTGCCTCCCAGGCTTCAACACCTCGGATGGTGTTCCAGACCATCAGCAGATGTGACCGGTGAATCAGCGGGCAGTGGAAGGTGGTGCAGATTAGAGACGAAGGAGCCAGCAGAGATGGAAAGTGATTAGGAAGTCACTATCTAATTAGCTAAGATGCTCAGAGCCACAACTGGGTGGGGGTGGGGGTGGGGGTGGTGATAGAAGAAATGGCCGGAGAAGAGAACGAACACAGGGAATAAGCAATAAAACTTTGAAAACGATGTAAGGATTCAAAGAAGAGAAAAATGGTGGCACTGCCACCAGATGTGGGTAGGTGAGAAAGGAAGGGCTCTGGGGCATGAGATAAGGCTAGTTTTGGAGTCTGCTGGTACTACTTGATTGGAACATAGGAGGGACTTGGGAGAGTTATATTTAGGGTCAAGTGAAATGACAGAGTAAGAAAAGCAACCTGGGGGATGCTTTGTTCCTTCACCCACAGGTGAGTACCTGCACCCAGCAAATGGCAGTCCCCATCAGAACGCCATAGGTCCCACTGTTCTAACTCCTCTAGGTAAGGGGAACAGAGTGGTGTCACGGACTTAATTATGTCCCCCCAGAAATGTGTGTATCAGTTTGGCTGGGCCATAATTCCTGGTACTGTGTGATTTTCCTGTATGTTGTAAATCCTGCCTCTGTGATGTTAATGAGGGAGGGCAGGTGGCAGTTGTGTTAGTGAGGCAGGACTCAATCTACAAGATTGGATTGTGTCCTGAGGCAATCTCTTGAGATAAAAAAGAAGTGTGCAGAGAGACAGGGGGACCTCATACCACCAAGAAAGCAGTGCTGGAAGCAGAGTGCATCCTTTGGACCTGGGGTCCCTGCACAGAGAAGCTCCTAGTCTGGGGGAACATTGATAAGAAGGCCAACAGAGAGGGAAAGGCTTCCCCTGGAGCTGACGCCCTGAATTTGGACTTTCAGCCTACTTTACTGTGAGGAAATAAATTTCTCTTTGTTAAAGCCATCCACTTGTGGTATTTCTGTTGTAGCAGCACTAGCTGACTAAGACAAGTGGTAAGTCATTAATGCATGTAATTATCTATATAATAATTTTGCGTTTTGTAGAAAAACAAAATATTTGCAAATGTGAATGAAGCTCACATTTCTGAAAATTAGTGTCTTCTGCCTGAATCCTTGCCTCAAACTCAATTGAAGGGCAGAATTTCAGTTGTCAAACCTTCCAAGTCAAACACTTTAAAGCATTTCCGGTGTTCCACTCCAACACCCCCCAACAAAGACTGGCCTCGCAGGTAGTACCCACGTATCTTCTCTGAAGTTC